AATACCAGCGCGTTTCCCCCGGCGCTTCTTTGTTCTGTGCCTCAGATGAGCGGCCCGTCCTTTGTTGTTCTCCGCGCTGCGTAGAATCTCTGGCGGCCAGGAAGGATCGGGTTTAAAAGTTTCCAAGATTAGATGTGCAACCTTGGCACCGATGTTTACAAGTGATCCGCTGTCATATACTATAAGACTAGAGGATTTTGGGATGTAAACCAGAGCAAAAAATAAGTAAAAAACAAGAAAAGTGGATAGTCAGAGCGGTCAGGAAGGCATCTGGACGTGGCCGCGCCATCTTGTAATCTACGAATATGCAAAAGCATTTGCTCACAAAACACACGATAACCTTAAATGAATGTCGTGTTTTTAATTTTCGCTCCGGACTCGTGAATCTCAACCCAGCAGCAGCGGTAACGTTTGCACGTCCTCTCCCGTTAATACGGCAGGTAAATAATCAACTAACAGTGCATATTATGTTAGCACGATCTGCCTTATTACAAAACCTGCCATTACTGTGCATTTAGGTGACCATGATGAGAGAGACAGAGTCTGGCTGGCGCTCACTGGCAGTTCTCGCTGCAGTCAACCGGTAGCGTCTCCTTTCAGGCCAGGATAGACGAATGTCACCGAGCAGTGACTCGTGGTAAAAGGCTTGCACCCATTTTCCACAGCAGATGCCCCCGATTTTCGGTAAGTGAATGTGTTTAATTGTAGGCAGGGACATTACTGGATATTCTTGTGTAATTGCTACAGAATAATTTATATTATACTTTGTTATTGCTACAGAAGAATATTTATTTTATTATTTTACATTTACAATTTTTTTCCCCGGGGACCCTGTGACACCCCATTGAAGAGCCATAGGCTGTGGATCTCTTAAGATCTCACTGTTGGGTTTGTAAGGCCATGTTACTCCTAAATTTTTCTTGTTCAAAGAGAAGATATAAAACAAAGTTCTAAGCTAATCGACATTAGTGTTCTCCTTTTTAAAAAAGAATCGATAAAGAATCGGATCGTTAAACAGAATCGAAAATGGAATCGGAATCGTGAAAACCTTATCAATACCCATCCCTACTCATATATTCTTAGAGGTATATAATCGATTGCATAGTGATAGGATGCAATCCTGTCGATCCTAA